CAACTACTTGTTATTAAGGATTCAAATGCTCCGAAATATTAGATTGTCAATAAGTAAAAGAACAATGGTTATACATAAACAAAATCTGGCAAACTGAAGAAATCGTGACAAAGAAAAGAGGCGATGCGCATCGATATTATAATAGTTCAAATTTCACTTTGATCATATATATATCACAAAAACTATACTGATCATAATTTTACTACAAAACTTATTTAAACATGAACCCCACTAAATATTTGGTACATCTAGCTAGGTAGAACGGAACATTGATGCTAATCCTATGGAGAAATCAAATAGAATGCTCCCAGCAATTAAAGAATAGAGTCGAGGAGAAAAGACATGTCAAAGAACAGAATCTTGTAATACTTGTGAGAGAGCCAAGTAATGAGACCAAATTAAGACGGCTGCCAAACTATTGGTAACCCTTCATCGTATTCTTAGAAGTTTAGTTCAATGAAGGTACAAGACATGTCAACATGATAGGAAAACTAATTAGATAAAAAGTTTATACATAATCATGTTACTTATTAGGTAATTACATATAAATCTCTTCATAAACATTAATCAAGATTCTGATAAAATGAGTAACTAATCTACTATCACAAGTTAGGATTCACTAATGGTTTAAAAAATATTTACGCAATTAGTATATATAACTTAAATTCATCTAAAAAATAAGAAAGATAACCTGCCATAACAGATTAAAACCCAATGATAGTATAATTGTTTTTTGCACAGTGAGTATATGAGTTAAATCTAAAATTATAATACCAACGAAATTATTCAAAAAGATTCAAAATGTGGCAGTGAACCCGGAGAGTCGCAGTTTTTGCAGAAATCAATTGAACACTCAAAAGGGAAAAAAAAATGTAAAAAGACAGTAATCTTTCTACAAGCAGTAAGTAACACAATGGAGGAAAAGCCTGACTTGTGATTGTCAAGTCGCTTTTATCAACTCTCTTCCAACATTCAGTGGCCCCCATTTCTCTGGCAATTCACAAGATCTCTCAAAATTGCTGCACCTTCCTTCCTCCTCCTCTTCCTCTTTCTCTCTCTTAAAGATTGAAGCTTAATTTGGCCTTTAGATTCTGAACATTGTATCATTCCATTATAGTGAAAATTCTTGAACTAATTGCTAGCTCCCCCATAAGTTTGGACCTTTTTTGTAGTATATGAATCCAGAATTTAGAGCTAAGTAGTTCATAATGAGTATGATCTTATACCTTTTTAACTTTTTTGCATATGTATACATAAGTCGAGTTGAAAAAAATAACCCACCTTGATTCGTCTCAGTGACTTCCGTTGTACTGGCTTAATCCCATGGCTGAAGTTGAAGTATTCCCAAACTTGGCCAGCTCATTTTTGGACAAAAAGGGCCTGTTTTCATTCCCTCCTACACCAAGAAAATCTCTTGTTAAGCTTCCTTCAATAGCTTCATTTCCACTCAGGTTTACTTGCTTTCCTTTGTTATTCAGCATCAAGAAAGGATTTGAGTTCTTTGCACTTGAATTACCCTCTAATAAACTCGAGTTCATAAGATCCCCACCTAACAACAGCCTATTTCCAGCTTGATTATTATTATTATTATTATTGGTAGTCGTCAAAGTTGAAACAGCTGATGGAGGTGAGTTCATCATTAATCCATTCAAATTCTGATCAGCTGCAAATTGTCCATTGTTTTTAGAAAAAGATGAACCCATCAGCCCAAATCCATTGCCAAAGAGGGCCGAATTGCTTCTGGTTGATCCCATTTGGGCTGCTTTTTGCAAAAGTGCAGTTGCCGACATATGAGATGGTGTTGTTGTTGTTGTTTCTTGGTGATGACTGTTGTAGTACATTGAACTTATTGTCTCAGACAAATTTCTTTTGTTCTCTTCTTCCTCCTTTAAAACTCGCGAAGGAAGGGACGAGGTAGACCCAAAACCAGAATCATCACCACCACCGTTAATGAACCACTGTTGATTATTATGTGGCGGCGCCATTTGCACCAATTGATGAGGCAAGTTGCTATTAGAGCTTGATGATGCTACTAAAAAATCATTGGGGTTATTGCCTGAATTTGGATTAATATTATTGTCCAACCAAAGTGGTATTCTTGGTTTTTGTCCATCAACATTGAGTTGATTAATTGCGGGATCCAATCCAAGTCCCATAAATTCAGGCCTAAACAAAGAATTACCAAATTGGGGATTTCCACTAATCATTCCCCCACTGAGCAATTCATTTCTGAAGTTAAGATTTGTTGTACTTGGAACTGATGTAAATCTTGCACTTTCTTCTGCTAACGCATCACAGAAGGCTCTGTGTGTTATAAAGCTGTCCTTTCTGTTCAATTTTCAAGAAACCAAAAAACAATCTTGGTTATTAGTTGCATTAAAATTCAGGACATAGATTAACTTCATTTATTTCCACGAGTGAGTAATCATAGGACAAGTCCATATTCTCTATTGTACTAGATGCAATAAATTTCAACTAGAAATGCTAAAGATGTTTGATTTAGTTACCTGGAGAAGAGAGTTCCACAGTCACATTTATATTCTCTTGTACCACAAATCTTAGTATGAGCTTTCCAATCAGATTGAACTGCATATTTCTTGGAACATTTCTCACACTTCCATTTCTTCTCACCATGTTTTCTTGAATAGTGTTTTTTAATACCTGTTAAATCCCCTAGAGCTCTTGATGGATCATGGTGGATACATGTCTTTTCTGGACAAATGTAAACTTTCTTTTTGATCACTTCATTTTTGTTTCTTTGCTTGAGCTTCCATGGTAAGTTGTGACCTCTTCTGTGGAGCTGCAAATTCTGGTCCCTTTGAAAACCCTTATTGCAGATTTCACATATGAATCGATTCGTCGCCATCAGTGACTT